AAAAAAAAAAAAAAAAGGTAGGGTGAGGAAAGGAGGCCAGAAAAAGTATTAGACAGATGAGCTGAGAACAAACATAGCTTTAGAGGGAAAGAAACAGGGACAGGTCAACCAGGCAGGGAATTAATCAGGTGCTTTGAGAAGGGCTGGCACATGGTAAGCGATAGATAACTATTAGATCCATGACAACTAAGTTTACACTTTCTCTAAAAAGGCAAATGAGGTTAATATCCCGGTACATTTCTCATGATCCCTCACAATGGATCTTTCCCTTTTACTTTTGTTCTTCATCCTTATAGGTACTCCTGCTCTTAAGGCACAACATCATGGGAGAGGCTTATCATTGGCTGCCCTTGATCCTCTTACCTGAGCAGATTACAGAGGCCACTTGCTCTGCTGAACATAGTGATGCACCCAGAACAGTTACAGGACAATCTCCAATGTGTTTCTCAGTTCCAGTGCAGTAAAACATATGCCTCCAGACCTGACCTCTTCCTTTCCCAAAATGTGCTCTTTCTGGGATAGAAAGGGCAATTCCACATTTAAGCTGCTGGCACAAAACATGGGCATCTTCCATGTCCCACTGAGAGTTACAGAGAGCTCCCCAGGTCCCTAGAACCTTGAGCTCCACTCTTCCTTCACATGGGGTCTTGCCATTCACCAAGCGGATTTCTGTGTATCCTGGAAGGAAACAAGACTTTAAAAAGATGCTTTGATTATATAACCCTACTCTCTTCCAAGAAAGGGAACAAACTGAACATGTTCTCTGAGTCTTACTCGAGCAGACTACTCCAACATCTCTGCTGTGGCTGCAAGTCCCATCTGGGCGGGGTGCTACTGGGCAGAGTGAAAGATGGGACTCATGCCCCTCGCACTGGAATTCTTCAGTCCAGATCTGTCCAGTTCCTTCTCCAAAGTAAGCTCCCCCCAGGATAGAGATGAACGTGCCACATTGTAATTCCTTGCACAGCACACTGGCAGCTTCCAGAGAGAAGTCAGAGTCACAGACGGAGCCCCATGTGTCGCCATGTTTCACTTCAACACGACCAGAACAGGGAATGTCCCCGCTAACCAGTCTGGGTTCCCTGTGGGCTGAAAAATAATATTTCAGTGAGACATAAAGTAATTTCAAGATTTCCTTTCATGATGGACGCGAGGAAGGGAGTGAAGAGTGAGAAAGGGAGGCCAGGGTGCTCAGTGACCTTCCATACTTGTTCCTTTTGGCTCCTCTGCCTAGAATTGGACATAGCAAATTCTAGACCTCCCCATTCCTCATTAGACCAATTTATCTGAGAGAATTCTGAAACTTTGCTTCCTGGAACGAACCACTCTTAGAGGCATGATAGCTTTTGTTTTCTGTATTTTCCTTACGTTGTTCATAACATTGGAGGCCACAGATAATGTGTAGTCACTCTGTCTCTTAGCCCTGTACTCATTCCTCCAGCTACTGCAATCTGGGATCTGCACCAGCCCTTTCAAAGGTTTTATGAGAAGTTTTTCAATATACTTCCTGTTTTCAAAATGAACATCAGACCTCTTTTTCCCTTTGATATGTTGCACTTGATACATGAGACATTTCTTTCTCCTGTTTCTCCTCTTTCCTGCCCGACAGAACCTTTCATGAATGCCTTGACTGAAGGTTCTATCCTCAACTTCCCTATCTCATCAATGGACATCTTCTCTTAATTGCCAATAAATGCTTTCATTTATACTTTTCTCTTTAAATTTATATTCATAAACATATCTACCTGGACATCTGGAACTTTGGGTGTTCAAAATGGAATGAATTATGTATTGACAAGTCCACTGTATTCTTTACTCACTTAATGATATCTAGACCAAATTAGAATGACCTGAAATTGAACCACTCCTTTATCCACCATAAATGTAATAATAATGATAGTAGTGAACACTAAGTGAGCACCTATTATATATGGCATTTTACTAAGTATTTTACAAACATTATTTCATCTTTACAATTGACTTAGAAAAAAATTATTAATATCATTCCAATATTACAGATAAGAAAACTGAAACATAGAGTGTTGTAATAATTTGCTAAGTTCATACAGCCAGTTAGTGAAGGGCTAGGATTTGAAGTTAGGCAGTATATTCCAGAACCTAGAACCCTGACTCTCACAATACACTGCACAGGTGGAAAGTCACCACTCTGTCAGTCTTCTAGCATATTTCTTCTGCATAATTTTTGTTATTGCTTTAATGTAACTAGTCATCATATATCATGTAGTCCTTTGCAATAGCTTCCTAAGTGGTCTCTCTGTTTCTAAGTTCTTTTCCTAAAAAATCTATGACATGATTACAAATATATTAATTACATTTCAAACATTTTCACATTATTTTTTGTCTTCAAGATAATTAAATATTTCTTTACTATTTATACAATAATTTATCCTTTCAACAAATATTATTAATCACCTACAATGTTTTAGGCATTTGAGTAGGTTTAAGGGTCTATCACAGAGTTCAGTCTATCAGTGAAGACCAATAATACTAACGCTACTAATAATTATCATAACCATTTACTGATCACTTGATGCGTAATCCTGTGAGGTAGGTGTTTTTGTTACCACCATTTTTCTTTTGAGGAAATTGCAGCAGAGACCTTTGGTAGATTCCCCAACATTACTCACCTATTAAAATTAAGGAGAAATGATAAACACTAATAAGTTAGAATACTTGAAAATACTGTATGATGTTACCTGAAAAGCCTTAATATCTATTACTCTATCCATCATACCCAATGCTCCAGCCTAAAGATGCTTGGGCATACCATAATTTTTCATGCTTTTGTGCATCTGCAGAAAGTTTTCTATCTACTTATAATGCATTTCCCAACCTCAAGTCAAACTTCTTAACATATTGATGAAAGTCTTACCTGAGCAGGTAACTTTGGCTTCTTCATAGTGATCACAAGTAAGTCCACCCCACTGCCAGTTCTTGCAGTCCCAAAGAGAAGTTTCATTTCCAATACAGGTAGTTAAAAATAGCCACATGTTTGTTGGCTTAACTTTGGAATACGTTTGATAGGATATTTTGAGTGCAGATCCACATCCCAGCTGCCTGCAAACCACATTAGCTTCTTTCAGTCCCCAGTTTCTGTCACACACTTTCCCTGCTAGTTTCTGAATTTCCACCTCTACTGTCCCAGCACAGCGGCTGCCTCCTCCCACAAGTCTCAGTTCCAGATCTGATCCATCTGCAAAAGAAACATAAACTTAAGCTATAGATATATGTGGGGGTTAACTCCCAAAGGATTTTTTAAAAATCTTGCTCCTTCCCAGATACTGAGACACTGGAAATTATGGCTTACCCATGTTATGGCTTTTCTCACAGCCATAGATCATAAGTTTGGTTAGAAATGAGATGATAATTTCAAGGGTTAATAAAAACTGTCAATGGCAGAAAAATATGAACAAGACAGATATTTTAAAAAGAGCTATATCATTTTCTATTCCAGAGCTCTAGGTAGATTTAGAACCTAATAGCAGTAAGAATAATTATTACAGAAAATTGCATCAGACGACCCTCCAAACTAGTAGAATAAAGAAAGTGTTAAAGATTCATCACAACTGTAAAACAAATTTCCAACAAAAAAATTATTCAATGTTTTTGTCTCTCACACCTCATACTTATCCTTACTCCTAAAGAATACAGGTCCTTCCTTCTGTTTTTGTTTTTACTTACCTGAACATACGACACCAGCATCTTCATGATGATTGCAATAATGCTTTCCCCACTCATGGTGTCTGCAGTGCCAAATAGCAGATTCATGTCCATGGCAGGAAACACTGTCAAGCCAAATGTGTCCAGTTCCCTCACTGGCATTAACTCGACCAATGCCAGTGATGGCAGTTGGGCATTCGAGTTGCCTACATGCCACAGCAGCATCATTACTATCCCAGCCATCATCACACACTGTCCCCCATTCTCCTTGGAATTTCACTTCTAATCTTCCTGAACATGTACTGACTCCATCGACGAGTCTCAGGCTCAGATCTGTTCCATCTGTAAGAAGGACATAAAACAAGTCAGTGATAAAGAAGAGTAAGAGACTACTAGATGGCTAAGTAGGTAAACTCTTGCTCACCTCCTCCCATGACCACATCAAAATTACAACTAAATTAGAAAACAAACATCATTGAGAAACACCTGAAGACTAGTTGAACAGAAATCCTATAACTAAGGATATAAAGAAGAAGCCATGTGATGAGTGGTAGGAGGAGTGGTGATGTGGAATGGGCAGGTCCCACACTCACAGTGTGGCAATTAAGAATCTGGAGGGATATTTTGGCTGCAGAAGTCCCCCTGAGGAAGGAAATGTCCCAGCCTCACTCTAAGCTCCCCAGCCAGGAGGAGGAGTTCCCATAACATCTGGCTGTGAAAAACAGTGAGAATTGTGTCCAAGAAAGACAATGAGCTGCTAGAGACTGAGGCACTGCAAGTCATAAAGGGCCTGTGCACAGACTCACTTGCTCACAATCTCATTTGCTCCAAATTCCAGTGCAGAGGATGCATCTTGAAAAGTTTCAGGGTTGTAGGGAGAGAAACTAAGTTGGCTAACTTTAGGGTGAGAGCTGGAAGGGCAGGGGTTGGGGCAAGTCTGTCTGGGAATGGACATTCCTTTGTTGAACTCTCTTCCCACCCTGCCAGCCAGGTGCAAGCAGGCATGAAATCTGTGCTCTCCATTAATCTGGCTAACACCATTCTGCACCCTGGTGATTCCCTGAGACACTTCCCCACCCAACTAGCTCCTTTGGCCTGAGCCTCTTCCAGTTGCTCCTCCACACAAGTGGCCTGCCTTCGCATCCATTGCAGACTTTCCCCAAATCTCTTAAAGGTCCACAAACCCCAAACAAGCAGCGACTGGCCTCAGCTTGCTAAGTGGCCCTGAACCCAGCACAAGCATCAACTGGTCTCAACTTACACTGTAACTCCCGTCAGGTGGTCCCAAGCCTGGCATAAGTGATGGCCAGTCTTGGCCTATAATGTAGCTGCAACTAGGGGGCCACAAGCCTGCACAAGTGGCAGCTGGCCTTAGTTTACAGCATAGCCCCTCCCAAGCATCTCCAAGCCCAGCACAAGTGGCAACCAAGGAACAGGTCACTTTGTAGGTTCTACCAAGAGGTCCCAAGGGAGACACAACTGGCAGATGACCTTGGCATACATAGGACCCTCAACCAGAAGGCTTTAAAAGTAACACATTCTTTGTAATTACAATAAAAACAAAAAGGGTGACACACAAATACACACACATTAGAGTGAAAAATAATGACAAAAACAAAAACGAGGGTGTGTGAGTAAAAATGGTAATGATTTTAGCATGTATTTGAACCTAAATAATCATTAACTTAAAATAGACTACCACAAACATTGCTTAGTATATATGAAGCAAATGACAACCAAAACCTAAAAATCTATAAGAAATGTACAAAAAATAGAGAAGGAATCCAAACATAATACTATAGAAAGTCACCAACATAAAATCAAAGTGAGCAAAAGAATAAGAAAGAAACTGAGAACTACAAAAACAATCAGAAAACCATTAATAAAATGGCAATAACGACATACTTACCTATATTTTAAATGTATATGAACTAGAAGACATAGGATAGGTGAGTGAATAAGAAAACAGGACCCATGCATATGCTGTCTGCAAGAGGCCCACTTAAGATTCAAAGACATATAAATAGACTGAAAGTAAAGGAATGGAAAAAGATATTTCATGCAAATGAAATGGAAAAAAGAAATCTGGGTAGCAATACTAATATCAGACTAAATAGAATTTAAAACAAAAGCTATGCATGATAAAAGACAAAGAAGGACATCTCATAATGATAAAGGAATCAATCCAACAAGGTAATAACATCTCTTGTAAACATCTATGCATCCAATGTAGGAGCATCTAAATACATATACCAAATATTGAAGGGAGGGATCTATAGTAAAATAACAGTAGGGGATTTAACACCACATTGACAGCAATAGGTAGATCTTACGGACAAAATCAATAAGAAACAATGGCCTTAAGTGACACATAAGACCAGATGGACTTAATTGATATTTTTAGGACATTTCCCCCAAAAGCAGCAGAATATATATTCTTTTCAAGTGCACATGGGACATTATCCAGGATAGATCACATGTTAGGTCACAAAATAAGTCTCAATAAATTTAAGAAAACTGAAATATCAAGCATCTTCTCCAACCACAATCGTATGAAAACTAGAAATCAATTATGAGAAGAAAACTGAAAACACACACAAACATGTGAGGCTGAAAAACGGCATCCAAATTGAAAAGATGCTCAGCATCACTAATCATTAGGGAAATGTAAATCAAAACCATGATGAGATATAACCTCATACCTGTCAGAATCGTTATTGTCAATAAATACACAAACAAATGTTGGCGATGATGTGGGGAACAGGGAACCCTTGTGCATTGTTGGTGGGATTGCAAATTGGCACAACCACTAAAAATTAAATATGGAATTACCATATGACCCAGCAATTCCACTTTTGGCTATTTACCCAAAGAAAACCAAAACACTAATTCGAAAAGAGATATGCACCCCTATGTTCATTGTAACATTATTTACAATAGCCAAGGTGTAGAAGAAACCTTGGTGTCCATCTATTAGATTAATATATAAAGGAGATGTTGTACATATGTATAATGGAATATTACTCAGCCACAAAAAAGAACAAAATCTTACCATTTGAGACAACATAGCTGGTCCTAGAGGATATATGCTAAACAAAATAAGCCAGACATAGAAAGACAAATACCATATTGTTTCACTTATATGTGGAATCTAAAAAACAAAATAAACAACAAAACAGAAACAAACTCATAGATACAGAGAACAAATTGATAGTTGTCAGGATGAGTTTGGGGGTTAGGTGAAACAGGTAAAAAGGATTAAGAAGTACAAATTGGACTTTGTAAAAACAGTCATAAGAATGTATAGTACAGCATAGGGAATATAGTCAATAATATTGTAATAACTATATAGAGTGTCAGATGGGAGCCAGACTGATCAAGGTGATTACTTCATATGTAGTTTAAATTTCTAACCACTACACTGTACAACTGAAACTAACATGATATTGTGTGTCAACTGTAATTGAAAATTAAATTTAAAAAAGAAACAACAAGAATAAGGAGACTGTAAGTAGCTGTATCTGAAATGAGTTAAGGAAAAATGGAAATATAAGGATAAAGAAAACAATGATACACTACTGTTGAAAATTATTAAGGATGTTGTGAAACTAATACAAAATAATATTGAATATAAATTGTATTGAAAAAATAAAATAACACATGGATGCACATAAAAGAAATGTTAAGAAAAACAAAACAAAACATTTATTAAAGTAGGATGAAGGAGTGGGTCGGGCAAGAAGACAGGACTTCTCAGTAGAGAGAGCATGCACTGTAACTCCCTAACAGGAGTTCCAGGAGCTAAATTTTATTTAGTGATATGCTCATTTGACCACTAGAGTTTTTGTTGAAATAGATTTTGTTTTTCTTGTTAATTATACATTTGCATGTGTTTAGGTGGCACCCACACACTTTGGTTTGCCTCGATACTCAACACTCACTTTTGCCTCTGATTGAATTACTACCCACACTACCTGGGTGGTATATATTTGGCCCTTTTGTGACCAATTCCTTAGTTTAAAAGCAAAGCAAAGAGGAAAGAGACCTAACCCTTGTTGTTTTCACCTTCTCCCAATCAATATTCCCCAAAGAACAGAACTTGGTTCCGAGTGATATCCTATAATAGATAAACGGGGTTTTTCCTCTGGCCGTTTTAGTTTTGTTGCCACAACACTGTTTATTGTGATTCCTCAGCGTGTATAAACCACACTGAGGAGAAAGGTGCTGGTTGGGGACCTAGAAACATTTTGATGGATAAAGAAAATGGAAGGTTCAGACTGTGATTTTTTTCTACCCCAAATCTCTTTCATTTTCTTCAGCTAACAAAATCCCTATTTTCTATAGGAATCCCATCCTTTGTGGTTCAGACAATAGACAGTCCGTTGTTCAATGGTCTGTTGTTCAACAACAAAAAGCCTATTCAAGAAATAAAAAAAGAGCCAGAACCCTGATGGCATTGCTTGAGTCCTTGAATTCAGCCATGCACTTCCTGAATTTTCCAGTTTTCTGAGTCAGTGTTTTCTTATTTCAAAATGAGTTTGAATTAAGTTTATTTCACCCCATCCCCACCCCCTAAAAAAAGATAGCTGGTGAATACAAGGACTTTTTTACTCTAACTATATTTTCCTAAATGTTCCTTGGGGTTCAAGACATACTAGATCTTCTTCAAACTAAGAACTCAAGTGAAAAAAACAGAATGTCATCCTTGCACATACAAATCCACTGTTCTGTCCCCTGATCAAGTATGGAACATAGAGTCTCTAGACAGACACAGTGCCTGCTCATCATACTAATACCACAGTAATAGCATGAATGCAATTTTTATAGGAAATCAACAATTTTGTTTAATCATTTGATTCTGTAAATTTGAACTAATAGTTTGGAAGGGGGTGGGTTAGTGTGGTTAAAGAGGGGACTTCTGTAGGTAGAAAATGATAAGAA